CTGATTTAAAGTATATAAGATGATGTGCTTAGTTATATGCACATACAGTGCCGTATTATATACGAGATTTGAGCAACGAAGGAAAATTGTCTTGATAAAAATTTCCATTTAAAAAGTCTAAAGCACCCAGAGTCAGTGACATAGCCACAGAGGACCAGAGTGGAGCGTCCAGCTGATAAGAAGAGAGGGCATATGCACAAGAACACCCACATTTACATATAACACCCTTTTGACCTGGCTTCAATGGCTGGATGATCAGAGCTCAACCAGAAGAAGAAAGAGAGGAAAAAAACTAGAGTAACCTGATATAATTTGATGAACTTGACCTACACCTATGGATGCAGTAACTCAAAAGAGGGAACAAATCTTTACAGCGAGGATCATTCCCACCCTCTCCATACACAGAGTAGACAGGGATAGGCAACTTGGACATTGGTTACCCAAAATGGGGGGTTGGGGGGTGAGGCTACATAGGCAAGAAGTGACTGGCTTACAAGCTTTCAAGAGGGAGCCTAAATTCAGAGGGCGTGGAGGAAGATAAAATCTCCACTGAGTAGTATACAATGTGTGTGGGTGGGGCTGATGAAAGCAGTTGTGGATAGCACTCATGTGGTACAACAGTGAATAATTACTATCAGGTCTGACTGTGAGGGTTGGAAACATAAAGGTAGACGTTTTGTAGCAAAAGGAGGGAAGTGGTTGACTTTGCAGTCCAGGAACAGAGGACCCTGGGACCATCAAAAGAAAAGAGCGGAGTGCCAGTACCCTACCCAGAGAAAAAGTGACACCAGAGATGGAGGCAGAGGCAATAACATGGCGAGATGGAGCAGCTGGGTACTCTAAACCCACAGAGGGAGAGGGGCTGTGTGCTGATGATCAGGGGGCAGGCTTGCGGGGTGTGCCATTTGGTTTGTTGATGATGCATAGAGGGGACTGTAACCATGGCAATGAAACAATATACGACAGGATGAATGTAAAGCTAATGTTCTCCCATGTAAACTTTCACATAATTCACAATAAAACATTAAAAAAAAAGTCGAAAGCAAGGCTGACCAATAGACCTTTCTGAATGATGGAGGTGTACTACTCTCTCCAAGATGGTAGACAAGTCACATAACCTCTTTTTCTTTATTTAATTAGGATTTTAATAGTCACATGTGGTTGATGGCTGCCAAATAGGCAGAAGTATTAGAATACAGTGAGTAAATAATGACATCTCCACTATTATAATCAAGGTGCTGTCGTCTTTAATGAATTCAAACACACAATACTACTGTTGGAAAAGAGCATATTACAAATAGTATTAATCCTACCAGAAAAACATAAGAGAATTGTCTTAGCTTAAAATAACATTAACACTGTGAACCAACAAAGAATGACTATAAGAGGGGGCAGAAGGAAAAGAAAAAACAATGGATATTCCAACAATCTTTTCTTATTCACTTTACTTTCCCACTGGAAAAGCTCAACCTTCTGTACACTTGATTTTTCTCATGTTAAGTAGTGAAAATACTTTGTCAAGATAAAGTATCAATTATATTTTTAATTAGAAAGAAATAACTAGGGCAAAGGGCTTACTTACTAAAGTGACAAACATTTTTGGCCAGGGCAATATAAGTAGTTGAAAATCTGGATTCATATAATGAATAAAGTGATGTGGTACTGGCTGTAAGATAAGCACTGGACTGCAAAATGCAGTTCAAACTCTACTGCTACTCCTCAGAAACCTTGATACAGGGTCACTATGAGTTGGAAATGACTTGACAGCACTTAAACAACAACAACATAACACTAAACAAGGAGACCTGGTTGTGCAGAGGTGGTTCAGACTCACCCAGCAACTCCACAGGAGAAATACCCAGCAATTTGCTCTCATGACGATTATAGCCAAGAAAACCCCAGTTTTACTCTGTCACATGGGATTGCTTTTGTCAAAATCAACTCAATGGCATCTAACAACAGCATAACAAGCAAACTTTCCTTGCTATTTGCTTATCTATTTCCCCAAATTGTACCACATATCTACAATTTCAGAGCAAATCCATTGCTAAAAGACAGTGACTCATTCCACTGAACGAATGGAAGACTCTACTTTTCCTGTTGCAGTAGCCTCAATAGCTGTTGATGATTGTGATAGCAAAATATGCCTTCATTATTCTGTGTACACAGTACCCATAATGTCTAACTTAAGTTAATATACAAATTTATTCAGAGATTCACGGAGCACGGTGGCTCTGTGGGATAAACACTATTGCAAACCACAAGATTTGGCAGTTCAAGGCCACCAGCTGCTTGAGAGAAAGGTGGGGCTTTCTGCTCCCGCAAAGATTTAATTTACAGCATTGGAAACCCTCTACAGGGTCACTCTGAGTCAGAATCGACTCAATAGCACTTAACAACAGCAACAACAACAACAACATTCAGACAGATTCAAAGTTGTATACTGGCACAAGTCTGATTACATAGTCAAAAGATTTTAAGAACTTAGCCATGTTACACACCTTGAGGGAAGGAAGTTGCTGAGTTTAGGGGAAGGGGCCCTCAGGACCACAGTCTCTGGGACACCATGGTCAATTAGTCTAACAGACCACAAAAACATTGTTCTACAACTTTCTTTGGTAAGCAGAGATGAGGTCTTAAAAGCTTGTGAGACGCCATCTAAGATGTAACTATTGGTTTCTTCCAATTCAGAGCACAGAGTGAAGAAAATCCAACTAACTAATGGACCATGTGACACCAGCCTCCATAATCTGAGACCCTAAGAACTAGATTGTGCCTGGCTGCCTCCTCAGGCCTGCTCTGAAAGTGACTGCATTAGAAAATCCTGGATAGAGTCAGAGAAAAATGTGGAACAAACTCAAAATTAAAAAAAGACAATGTCTGATAGAGATCATGGAACTCCCTAGACTATGGCCCTCATACAGTCTTCAGGCCTGGAGCTGAACTCAACCTCCAAGGCTCAACTTTCAGCCAAATGACAGCTGGACCTATAAGGTGAATGAAAACACTAGGGAGGTACTCACTCAGAATCAACTATAGGAGATCAAAAGAACAGCATCTTCCCAGGGCTAAAGTTCAGAGGTTGGAAGGGATAGAAAGGAGGAGAATGGAAACAGTAAACCAGGAAGAAAGTGGGAAGAGAGTGGCTACATTGTGGAGGCAGCAATTATTATTACTAAACAAAATGTGTATAAACTGATCAATTGAAAACCAATTTGCCCTGTGAACTTTCACCCAAATCACAAGTTTAAAACAAAACACAAAAATCTGATAACTTAAAAAAACAAACCAATAAGCAACTAAATGTAGGAAACAGGATTTTTATGCACAGCAACTTGTTCAACTTGCTAATCACGACAGTAAGGCAGTAACTTCTGGTTCTCATTTAGTTGTGTTCATTTGAAGCCATTTTAAAAAACAATACTGGATTTTTCTATCTTGAAGATGTGAACGGTTATGTAACTGAGATTTTACTCAAGCTAACAAAAAAACACCCAATATTGAGAAGTGGTGTTTTAATCACCTAGGAAAAGCTTGAAGAGCAAAAAACATTCTCAGATAAATAAAGCTATATATGAAGATTTGGAAAAACGGAACATGAGACCAGATCTATAATAATTAACTCGCAGAGTCAACAAAACCAAAGTATTACAATACTATGGTATTATGACATCATTAGCTTGGTTTCCTAATAAGGCATATCTCTGGGATATCTTTGGATAAAAATAGAAAACTAACATTTGTACCAGAGAGTGGCAGACCATTCTAGTTTTATTTATAAGATTTTTTTTTTTTAAAAAAGAATGATGCCCATTACAATATGAACAGAAGACTGTCTCCGAAACACCATACTTGATTCTTTCTCAGTCTTACAAAAATGCTCTTCTAGAGTAAGAGAAAAAGAGGTAGCAATGTTTTAGTCCAACAAAAATTTTTACTGTTCCACAAAAACGGTTTGATTCGCTAGGTTTTAACTTTGTCTTTTGAACTAATAATAATAACACTAAATTGTACAAGTACTTAATGTGATTTGAAAATTACACAAAGTTAAGCATCTTCAGCAGCATCAATTTCTCTCCTAATTGTCACAGTTGCCTCAATGCTGTATTTTTGGAGGCTGTAATTGCCAGGAAGCAAGAATGAATGTTTCTCTCTGAATTAATTCTGACAAAGGTGGTGTTTTATGTCTTAAATCCTCCTTTTGAGTTTTTGGGTTTAAAAAAGAAAAAAAAAAACTCCTGCAAAACTGAAACGTTAACCACTGGTTCCAAACTTGCTCTATTCAAATTGCCTGGAGAATGGAAAAAAGTAAGCCTCACATTCCAAAAGTTTCCCTTGGGGTGGAATGAGGGCAAGGTAGGAAGGAAACAGTCCTTCCAAAACTATTGCACACATCTTTCTTTCCCTCAGCCTGCTTTTGGGTAAAATTTTCCTTCGTTGAAGGGGGTTAGACGAAATAAGGTGATGTTTGATAATCAACACAGCACTGAATCGCGACACTTCTTGAAATCAGTGACAAGAGGCAAGTCCTCCACCACCTTTCACTCAAACGTGTCCCAAATTGTCAAGAGGCAGCAAACACGACTCCGTTTTTGGTTTTTTGTTTATCCTTTTAATCTCCCTAGATCTACTTTCGTTCGGCTCCTTGGCCTCGCTTCCTCCAGGAGGACCCTGACCCCACTGGAGACCCCAGTCTCTGGCTGCCGCCGCCCACCAGTATTTAGGAGGAGGAAGTAACCGGGAAACCAGGACAGGAAGCGGCCACCTCTGGCCGCCCCGCCCGGCCTTGGCGTCCGATCGCGGGGGCGGGACGGGCCCCGGGTGGTGGGAGCCCCGCTGGCTCCGGACCCTGCGTCCGCCTCTACTGAGGCCTACCCCGACGCCCGCGTTCCGGCCTCGCGGCCCCGCACCACCGAACCTCCCCGCCACCCAGGACCCAAAGAACCGGCGGGCCGCGCGCGGAGGCGGACTCTCACAGGTAGAAGGGTGGAGGTACCTACCAGCTGCTGCCGGACCCAGCGCCACATACCCCCGCCGCCCCGGCCCCGCGACACGCGGGCGCCGAGGCTGCAGGTGGAGGCCGATGAGCCAGAGGGGGGATCGGACAAGCCCCTCAGTCTGAAGTTCCGCTCGCCGCAGCTGCAGCCACCACCTCACTCCCCGCGCCGGTTCCCCATCCCGCCGCGCCGGCCCCGAGGTCCTACAGGCGCGGCCCCGGCGCCGCCCCCACCGCCGCCCGGCGCAGCTTAGACTGTCGCCGCGCCGCAGCCACCTTCATTATTGACCGTTGTCACCCGAAGCACCCCCACAACCCCACCCCCGTCCTGCCCAGCCCCCCGCCCCACCCAGACCCGCCTCCGGAGCCCCGGCCCGCCCCCGGACGTGACGAAAGGGGGTGCGTGGCCCCGGAGGCCCGGCGCACCCCGTTGTCTTTCTGAGCGTGGGGCTAGAAGGGAACCTGGAAAGGTGCTGGGGGGAGGTTTCTGTCCTGTTTCCCTCCTCAATTTTAGGGGTGGGATTAAGTCGCCTTTGTATGTTTGTCTGCCGAGTTTGCAGTTTTGGCCGACTCTTGTCTACCTCCTGTTGCCGGTCTGTTTGTGGCTCTCTGACCTCCCCGCACCCAATTTGCGCAGACATACAATCTGAAGTGTATGTCATTGAAGATTATCCCCAGGGGTCCTCCGTTTTGGTTAGGTCGTCAAAGAGCGTAACACAGCTTTCTTTTAGCAATCAGCTGAAGTGAAGTGAATCTTGATCCTGGAGTGATTTCGAGTTACAACTCTCCTGTGCCTGGTGTAGCCTAGATCAGGATTTCTGGGCGAGATACTCTGTCCTGTCGTACTAAATTAGGAAATACCATATGGAAAGAGTTTTCTGCTGGTAACTGCAATATAAAACGCCTAAGAAGCACCTTGACCTAGGTCAAATAAGGATGTAGATAAATACACGAATATATAAGCGATTGGCCAGGTCTCGCTTTGTTCAAAAGTAGCCCCACATACTTCGTGAATGTTATTAATAAACCCATAGATGTATATGTATTTTGTGTGGTGTTTTTGCAGAATTAAAGCAGGCTTCGTCATTCAACAGAATGGAATCTGGTCAATGTAAATAAGATTACCATGACTAGGCAAATTGTGCATATGCACACAATCTTTTAGTTTCAAGAGACATTTCTTATATAATACTTAATCCAACACAACAAAGCGTTTTTCTTCCAGGATTTTATGATCTATAAAACCAGCACATTAATTTTTATATTGTAAAGAATTCCGCTTACAAGCTGGCTCAATATTCAAGAGGAAAAAGTAATCTTACTTTCGTTTTTATGACTGAACTTTGCTTTTTGACCCTAAAAGAAAGTTTGAGATATATTTATTTATTATAGTGATAAAATGGACAACCAGTCTTTGGAACGCTTGTGTGCCCCAGGCCCTGTACCAAGCTGTTTATTTGATGACATCAGTTGTTGTTTTGTGTTGTTGAAGTGCCATCAAGTAAGTTCTGACTCCTAGTAACCCTATATAGGGCTTCCAAGGAGTAGCTGGTGAGTTTGAACTGCCAACCTTGTAGTTAGAAGTCCAGTGCTTATCCTACAGCACCACACCAAGACTTCTACATTAGTTGTTGTTAAGGCCATTGAATTAGTTCTGACTCATAGCGACCCAGTATAGGGTTTCCAAAGAGCAACTGGTGGGTTTGAACGGCTGACCTTGCAGCTCAAACTGCTATTATGGTTCAATGTATTATCCTGCAGTTCCACACTGGAAGTCCTATATTAATTTGTTGTTGTTGTTGTTGTTAAGTGCCATCGAGTCAATTCCGACCCATAATGACCCTGTATAGGGTTTCCAAGGAGCAGCTGGTGAGCTTGAACCGCTGACCTTGCAGTTCAAACGGCTTTGCAGTTTGGCGCATTAACCCACAGCGCAATCCTTCAAAGTAGATATTGTGAGTCCCATAGTATGGATATGGAAACAGTGACTCAGATTAAGCATTTGCCAGAAGTGGCAAAGTAGGGATTACAATGGTAGATAACCAGGCAACAAAACTCATACTTTTAAGAAATGTCAAGGAACAAAAATATGACATAGCTATTTTTATTCATCTGCAAATATTCTGATTACAAATTAGACCTGAAACTGAAGTTTGTCAAGATAGTCAAAGAAATAGAAATATAAAGGACAATTTGTGCATGGAACTGTGTTCCAAGTTTCAAAAGGTAGAAATAGGTGTGAAGTTGATTCTAAATGCTATGGTAGAATACGGCAAGCTGTGATCTCAAGATGACTAGGTAAGATCACAATCAGTTCAAACTGTCAGGAACAGAAAGAACATTTAAAGCAGTGTTTTGGTCTAAGTGTTGTTTTCTAGGACAATTCTTTACATTTTATACTAAAATAAGGAGCATAAGATAGTGTTTTATACTATATGTTATAGTTATGACCCATTGGTGAGTGGGAAGATCATTGTTTTTTAAAATAACATAAAATAAAAAACATGAGTATATGCAAAAACCACGTGGGGCCTGTGTTGACTTCCCAATTCACAAGGAGAATTGTTGTTGTTGTCAGGTGCCATCGAGCCGGAAACGACTCATAACGACCCCATGCACAGCAGAACGAAACAATGTCCTATCCTGGGCCAAACTCACCACCGTTGCCACACTTGACGCCATCAATGATGCCACCTGGCCGATCCATCTCGTTGGGGACTTCCTCTTTTTCTCTGACCCTCCATCTTACCCAGCATGACATACTTCTCCAGCGACTGTTCCCTCCTGACAATATGTCCAAAGTATGAGAGACGAAGTTTAGCTATCTTGGCCTCCAAGGAGCACTCTAGCTGTATTTCTTCCAAAATAGATCTATTGGTTCTTTTGGCAGTCCAAAAGTATTTGGCACTTTTAGTATTCTCCTCCAACACCATAACTCAAAGGCATCAATTCTTCTATGATCTTCCTTATTCTCTGTCCAGCTTTTGCATCCATAAGAGGTTATCTGCTGCACAGAAACTTTTTAAAGTGTTGAAGAGCAGAGATGTCACCTTGAGGACTAAGGTGCGCCTGACCCAAGCCATGGTATTTTCAATAACAAGGAGGTTAGATATCAAAATCAGTCCAAGGCCAATTCCTAGGAATCCAAGGGCAGACGTGCTTCTATCCTGCAACCTTCTATTCCCTATTCTGACACCACCCATCCCCCACACAGCACCTTGCTTCATATCTGGGTTCAATAATCCATTGCAATCGCCACACTAAACTCATAACAATACTCACAAATAATGGCGTTTATTAGGGAAGTGCTCGCGGGAGAACAATGAGGCTTTCTGTTCCTGTAAAGATTTACAGCCTTGGAAACCTTGTTCAGGCTCACTATGGGGTCAGAACTGACTCGATGGCACTTAACAACAACAACATTAGGGAAGTGAACAGGGTACAATTCTGAATCAAAACCAAGTCAGAATGTAGCAGTTCCCCAGTCAGGAACCCGTCATGTCTGCCTTACTGCAGGCACACTTCACTCTTGTTTTCAGCCTCTCAGCCATGTGGTCCCTTGGCCGCTGACCTGCTGGAGCTTGTGTTACAAAGTAGTTTTAGCTAGTCTGTGAATACCCAAAGCGCACATTCTTCAAGCCAGTCTCCTGCCCGTAGACACTCTGCATTCCTCTGTCCATGTCATTGCCTCTTCCCTTGCTGTTTCCCTAGATAAGGATCTCACATGTCACTCATGCTCTTCCTTCTCCATGGTCCTGCTATCTTCCATCTCTGCTTTTGAGAAGGCTCCATTTTTACCTAGCTGGAGGGTGAAACTAACCAATTCCAGCCTTGGAATCCTGCATACCATGTTTGCATGGTCCAACTCAATCACTTGGTGGGAATTAAGAAGACTTTGGATAGAAAAGCCATATCAAGTAAATTCAAGGTACCATAGTATATAATACACAGAGGCTAGTCCCTGGGCAGCACAAATGATTAAGCACTTGACTGCTGATGTAAAGATTAGTGGTTTGAACCCACCCATAGGTGTCTCAGAAAATGGGCCTTATGATCTGCTTTCAAAAGAGTATAGCCTTGAAAACCCTGTGGAGTAATCTACTCTGCACATGTCAAATTGGCCTGAATCAGAACCAACTCCACAGACAACAAGAACAACATAATACACAATGTTATATATTGTTTTGTGAAACTGTGGTTTGACTGCACATGTACACACTGTAAAAGGCATTTCTTCCTATTTGTTATGGTTGGAAATGTTTGAAAAACACTGAAATGGGAATACCAGAATATAAAAAGGCAGGTACCAGCTGTAAAAAGAAAGGGAGGATGGGGGAGGATTATGGATTTGGAGTTAGCAGTCATTCATTCTTTCCACAACTATTTCTTAAATGTAATCATAACAACTGCCTGAAACTAGGAGAGATAAGTGCACGGGGCTAAACTGAGCCTTTATTCTCTAGATTTTACAGAGAGATTTTACAGCCTAGTTGGAAAGAAAAGTTGCAGAGAGAAAAGAGTTAAATAACAATTCAAATCAGTATGGGATTAAGTCCTAAAGACCTATATTGACAATCATCGCTAATTCAGAAAGTATGTTTAAAAATACATATATGGGCAATGGTGATGATGTTCAATGGAGTCGACACTGACTCATAGTGACCCTGTACAGGGTTTTCAAGGCTGTAAATCTTCATGGAAGTAGAAGGCCTCATCTTTCTCCCACAGAACCGCTGGTAGTTTTAAACTGCTGACCTTGAGATTAGCAGCCTGACTCATAACCACTATGCTACCAGAGCTCCTTTGAAAGAAAGAAGCTTAGATTTAAACTGAATTTGAAATGAGGGGATGAAGGTAGAAGAGAAAGGCCTTCCAACAGGAAGAACTGCAGGAGCAAATATTTAAAAAAAGAGTTAAGAAATGTCAAGATGCTGTTTGAGGTACAAGTAATTGGAATAATAAGAGATGGGGATAGGTGAGTAAGGGAACGAATATAGAGAGAGTTTCTGGTTAGTCACAAGTGTTTACAGGAAATGGGCAATCCCTGGAAGTTTCTGAACAAGGAAACAGATGGTGAGATCAAAGTGTTAATCCATAGGTATTATATGTGATGGGCTGGAGAGGGAAGAAAGATCAGGTAAGAAATTATTGCTAGAGTGAAACATTGAGTTGAAAAGTACTGAGACTGGTGAGGGGCCAGAAGTAGAGCTTGTGATAGAAATGGTGTGCCATGATGACAAGGAAACCTGGAAGTTAAACTATTCCAGGTGAGGTGACAGACCCTCCA